TCGAACCGCATTTCCATCCGCCCCGTTGTACACCTCGTACCAATTGCGACACACATTTTCGCCTGCCTTCGCCTGGATTGCTGCCTCTCGCTTTTTTCCTTGCGTCTTGTTTACATTTTCATGCTCGAATTGGCTCTTGTGCTTTGGTAATTTCCCAGCATTGTCTTCGTTCTTGCTGACTGCTGCCTGCTACCTGCCACTCCCCCACTTTTCCTTGTTGGGCGTTAGCCTGTTGGCTAACTTCAAACACACACATTAAGCGGGCTGCGTCTTTGGACTTTTTGTTTGCCACTGACAGGAGCGCTGGCCCCCGGTAACCTACCTCCTGGACCCCCCAAACTTCCGCTTCCTACTGCTTTCAGCGCTGCCTTTGTGCCACATAAATTTGGTTTAAAATGTATCTCGTGCTTTCCTCCACTTTTCGTGTCCCCGGGAGCTGCTGCTCCTTTCATGTTCCGCTTTCTGCTGCTTTGTGTGTCGTGTTTTGTTTTCTGCTTATTTTCAATTTGAACATTTTAATGTTTGTGGTCATAAAAATCTTTTTATTGGTTGTAAAACTGAAACTGAAGAGCTGCCGGCAAACGGGGAGTGGTGGTGGGTGCTCAAAAAAAATTAGCAGCCTCTTCTCTGCCTCGGCAATGGCCACTTAAGCACCGCGTTAAGGTGCGATAAGAGTAAGCACCGAATTTGTCAAAAAGAAATCGGGTTCCGAATTGTTTGCCAGGCCTCAGACCTTAAACAGATAACTGTTTGGCTATAACCCGGTAATTGAAACACAAAAAAGTGAGTTAAATACTAAATTACTCTCTTCTTTAAAAAGAAAGAAAATTCTTTTTACGATGAAGAAGCCATTTCATAAGATTGGTAATTTTTAAATTTTTACGAGGAACGTACAAAACTCCTAATTTATTTCAGTTAAAACTAAACCAAGTAAGATTTGAATAGTTAAAAGAGGTCTGTTATATAAAATTAAATAAATAAGATAAATTTAAAGGTTCTTTAATTTCTTAGTCTATTTTTTTGTGTTTTCGGATGGTATTTCTTAAAGAAAAAAAATGAACAGAAATATTTTAGTAAGCCACATGCAAAAACAAATCTCATTGAACATTAAAACCTACAAAAAGTTTTCCTGGCCAGCTTCTAGCCCTAAATGATTAAACTTTAAGTTTTGCATTTTTATACAGAATGCCTTGACAATTCTGACTCTCAATTTTCACCCATTAGCATAACACTTAATTGAGGCATCCATTGGCTCCTCAATGACCCTCAAAAGCAGCTGCACAGCCGGCAGAGTTTTCCGAGTTTCCCTTTTTGCAGAGGCCTCAATTAAATGTTAATGGCAATATTTTATAGCTGACACTCAGCTTCCTTACCTCCGCCCCTTGGCCCGCCTTCCTCTGTGTTTAGTATCTTCATCTTTGACTCATTTACATTTTGCTCACATTTTCAACCGCCGGAAGTGTCTCAACAACTCGGCGTTTCTCTGCCTGCTTCGAATTTCCACGATAGCTAGCTGTTGTGTTGCATGCTCCATTCGGTCACTTTCACACAAAAATTTTCCAATTTGCCTTTTTCTATTTCTATTTTCTTTCCACCCAAACGGGGGAAACTCCTGCCTCCCTGCCTCTCAGTCACGTCAGCTTTTCCAACCAAACGTATGCATATTTTATGCCTCTGCGATTTTTCAATTTTGATAATTTGTATTATGCTAATTTTGCCGTGTTTTTGATGCGGAGCAAAGGGGCTGTGCTGTGCACACGCAAATGGAAGTGAGAGAATGAAATGGAAATGAAAATCGAAATCGAAATGATAGCATAATATTTGTAAACTGTTTTGCTGATGCGACGCGTCATTCATTTTGCCCTATGATTTGTGTTTGCCCCCAAGTTAAACGAGGTAGATCGCTTTCCGCATAAAATTATGTTTTCATTTATCGGAGTTATTAAAAATATATTACACCTTTGTTGACACACTGCACCTGAGTGTGATAATTTTGTTCGGCATCGTCACAAAAAACTGCAAATATTTACGTTGAAATAAGTATAAAATCGAATCACTGCAAATGCGAGTTGGTATTTATTTTGCTTTTGTCGGGATTTAATTTCTTTTGTTTCCTTCATCTGCTTTACTTTCGGCTCTAATAAATCCGCAAAGTCTTGCCTTCAAAGGAAATGCATGAAAAAAGGAACAATTGGAAAAAACCCGTCTTTCCAGTTGCTAAAACTTGGCTCTCAAGGGCCGCGCGATTCTCCTTTTCTTTTTGATGTGCTTTACGTTGCCTTGCTTTTGGCTAACAACTAACGGCACTTGGCAAAAGGGGCAGGAGATCTTGCAGTTGTTGGCCAAGAGGCACCGCAGCACCCCGGCTTTCCCCGCGGAGCGACCTTCCCCCAGCAGCTGCAGTTCAGAAAGTGTTGCAAATGTTTCGAAACCGGTTTAAATGGGCTTTGGACGACGGGTTCGCGTTCGGGTTCTGTTTTGGGCTCGGGCTTCGACTCTTTTTTTTCTACTTGTGCTTTGCCCTGAAGAAATGGGTCAATAAGAAATTCAAATGCTAAAAAAAAGAAGAACGGCGAGCGAAAAACTTGTTGAATTTTTGCGGTTATCCGAGGAAGGGGAAGCAGCACACTAAAACAGGGAATTGCAAGGCGAATGAACTCCAATTTGCGTTTGTTATGTCTTCTCTTTGCGTTAGGTTCAATGACTTCCAGTTTTTGAGAGCAAACCATAATAATTGATCGAATTGCCCGGCAAAAACGAGTTCAGAAGACTAATCAGAGATTAAATAGAGTTTGTTTAAAAAAAAGGTTACAATATGGAATTAGTGTGCTTATAATAATTTTATCTTAAATTTGTGTTTATTAGGAACCCCATTCATTTTAGTTTTATCCTTTTGTTCATTAGTTCTTATCTTTTTCTTGGATATTCCTTAGCGTGGCATAAATAATATTTTTTTATTAGTTTGTTTATAATAATTTGGGTATATCAGATATTTATGATATGCTATTTATTAAGAGACCCATTAATTTTAGCTTCAACTTGTAATTCATTATTACTTATCTTTTTCTTGGATATCCCTTAGCTGGTTAGAACTCCACCACAATGATTTCATTGCTCTTTCCGTGATTTCAAGAATCGCTACAATGTCAGCCTCATAAAATGGGAAAATGAAAAGACAATAGCTGACCACAAAATGATTTGATATCGTGCAACTAAGCACACATTATTATTAATATTTAATGCGATTTCCCCGCCGTCCTTCCTGTGCATTATTGTGTGTCCTTTGTGGGGTCAAGTGATGTGGATGGCATAGGACGTTGATGGACCTGCGGAAAGCCGCTTAAAATGTTTTCCCGGTATACTCGGCGGACTGATCTCCCTCTTCTTACCTCGCCCACCGATGTTGGGGTTGCTGCTGTTGTTGTTGTGTTGCTGGCATTGCGCTGATTTAATATTTAGCACGCCTGGACAATCACCCTGGAAAAAGACCTCCCCCCGTTTTCACATCAACCCCTCCGGCATGACGCCTTAGTAAAATTTTAATGCGCTTTTGATGATGGCCATAAAACGGCAAAACAAAATGCATGGCAGTGGGCGGGGGCGCGGGAGGGGGCGTGGCCAGTTCAGTGCAAGCGAATCTCTGCTCTAGATAAAATATTAATTTATTTTTCCCGCTTCTGTTGGCAGTCCTTTTTTTTGCCATAGCGTCCTGTTCTTTTGGGGGGCCCGCCAGTACCGCCAGTCGAACAAGTTATAGTGCGCATAAAATTTTACGTATGTATCGCCGCGCAAGCTCGGCTCTTATTTTTTAAATAACTGTTTCATGCTCCACCCCCGATGTCCAGTGCTATATAGCGCTATATATCCCGCCGACCCGCGACGCACCCCTATATTGCGGCCTCGCCCACTGGTTTATTAATACTTTCATTTCGAGGCGGTTTATTTGTTTTTTTTTTTTCATTCCGCCGCCTCCGTTGCTTGCATTTTTATTTCTCGCCTTCTTGTGGATTAGTTTTTTAATTTCAACAGCTCGTGAAATGTTGAACTTTTTTATTTGCTTGCCCCCTAGATTTCCAGTAGCAGGCAGTGAGTTCTAAAAAAGTTTCTGCATTTTCCTGCTATATAGAAATCTTTTGGCTCAGCTGCAGTTTAGAAAGATCTGATGCCGAAATCAAAATATTAATTATTATTGGAGTATTTGCAGATTTTGCAGTGTAAATACAAGCATAGCAAATATAAAAATATATTTTATTAGTTTCGTTGTAGTTTATTTAATAAACACCAGTCTTATTGCTGATTTTGGCTTGAAGAGCTTTGGCCGGTTGCCCTGCATTAATTATTGTGTAAAAATGGAAAAATTCAAAGAATTTTCGGTGTAATTACAAAGTGCTCAGCAGAAAATATGAGTGTCATTTATTTCTGATTTATTTACTGTTGATTTTTAAGAGGGAACAAATTGGATAGATTTTTGCTAGAAAATAAAATGTTTGCTTTGCTGCAGAAGAAGTTTCTATATTAAAAATACAAGGTTTACAATCAAATAAAGTGTAATTGATTTCCTTTAATTGCTTGCATGAATAAATCAGCAATACAGAAATTCAATGGCTTCTATTGCGCAAAATCGATTTTATCTAGGTAGCTCATAGTATTTTTATTGGTTTTACTTACCAAAAATTTTATGGAAAAGGATTTTCTGTGTGTAGACAAACCACACATTTCGCCGTTACAAACGTAACTTACTTACACCGCTTTGTACAATTTATCAATCGGGGGCCCTCGAGAGTTGACACTTCCCATGAACGTTGACGATCCCCCGGGGAGCTGCTCTAATCAGCTTCCATCATTCAACTGCCCTCCGTCTCTGGAGCTCCATTGCCATTCACCTAATGGACTCAAATTACCGGCAAACAATGAGTGGGCAGCTCGACGAATATCCTATCCTTTCCTTTTACATGCCCAATGGCCATCAACAGTCGCGGCAGGGAAAAAGGAGAGAAGAGTGGAAGAGTGCTGAAGCACGCGCCTCATTTATTCAATAAGCTGATCTCATAAACAGGAGTAATTTTTCTGACCCCCCCACACTTTCTCCCTTCCTCGTTTTTCCGGCTTTCCTTCGAGGATGCGACGCTCTTGACTTGCTCGATGATTGCGCTATTTACAATAATTGCAGACATTTTGTGCGCCATCGAGCGACAGTCTCCCAGTTTCCTGGGCTCCTCCGTTGACTTTTCCATTTACGACGCTTGTCCTGCTGCAGGACCCAGGACCTCTGGCAAATCGCATTAAATGCAGCTCCTCTTCCAATGCCGGCAACGAATTGTAAAATGTCATTCCAGATGAAAATGAGGGGGACTGAAAAAGAAAAGTATTTTCACTGCTCTTTTCTCTCTCTCTCTCTCTCTCTGTTTTTCCCACTCCATTTCCTTTTAGGGCAACTCACACTTTCTGTCTACTTCCTCTGCTTGGCACTTCTGTTTTCCTGTATTTCCATGGCCAGAATGCACAACCATAAAGCGCAGTGAGCACACAAAAACTAATTAGAAAACTTTTGCGGTTGCAAGTGACAGTGGAGAGGGGGGAAAAGTGTTAAGTGTGTGCGAACTGGGGTGAAAAATAAACAAAAAAATATTGATAGAGAAGTGTAGAAGAATGTGTAAGCTGGCAGCTGCATTAATAATTAAGTAATAGAGCGCACACAATGACTATCAGTTACATAAGGAAAAGTTAACTAAGGAAAGACCATTGAAGTGTCTACACTGAAAGCAAACATGCACTTAAACTTTGAGATATGCTTTTAGATGCTACATTTCAAGCATAAGCTGAAAGCAAATTGTTCTACTTCTTATCGATTTTTTTCTGTGTAGGACATTAGTAAAGCCATTATCGAAAAATGGTCATGGTCTAGCAGCACTTAACAATCTTAACAAATTATAAGTATAAGTCATTCATCCCCTTATTCCAAAGTTTCCCCAAACAATTTGCCACTGGGAATTTACATAGACCAAAAAAATTCGATGGAATTTCGTCTAATCAAATAGCTACCCTCGGTCCTCCCATCTTTCTCTCTCATGTCTAATGCAAATCAATGTTAAAAGTTTTCAACAAGATTCAAAATTTCATGAGCCAGAGGACTTATCGATGAATTTCATGAATAACAAAATATTGCTGCTCCCTGAAAAATAGGCGAAGACAAAAGCGGCTTTGCCACTTTTCCTCTTTCCTTACCCCATTTCTCCAAAAATGGTGCTGGAAGAAGGGGAGGGAGTAAAAACAAATTGAACATTTAACCCATTATGGCCCCTAAGCAACCCAACAACGCCCCCTGCCAACAGAAGACTTTCCAACGATTCGCATGTAAAATGAATAAATAGAAGCCGTTTCAAGATTCTCAAAAGGAGGAGGTGGAGTTTTTGGAAGGGGCGTGGCAAGGGAAAATTTGGCGGCTTAAATTTTCCATAAATTTCCATGCCAACGGCCAATGCTCATTATAATTTGCCATCAATTCCCAGACGCTGCTACCACCGAGGTATTCTTATTTCATTCTTGTTGGCCTAGACTTGACACGCCCTGGCTTTTGCTGCTGGCAGGCTCTCTTCAGCACACTCGAAACTCATTAACGTAATTTCCGAAAATTTATGAATGTTAATTGGGAAATTTCTTTGGCATAGTACAGCGGAAAGTGCTTATTAAATTATGCTAATGAGTTCTTGAGCCTCACAGAGCTGACACGGAACAAACTCCTCTTCCTTCCCTGGCTTAGGTCAACCAAATGCGAAATTCCAATTATGCCAAAACAAATGCAAACACTCAAACAAAATTGGGAGTAAACAATGGTCACTTTGAAATCGATGGTCGGGGGTAAATGAATGCAAAGTCATTTATTTTCAATTAACCAATCACCTTGCCCGGATCAATTTGCAATCATGTTATGTTATTTGTGTGTACTTGATCACTCTATCATGCAATTCGAATTAAAACAAAACATTTACACAGAGAAAATACCTTGGAAAATTAGTATATATTATATGAATATGTCTTTATTTATTTTTGGGAAAGAGAAATACATCTCATTACCATATGAGGTTTCACATGTTACCTCACAATTGGAATTATTAGCGCTTTCGGCTATGCCTTTTTCTCTATCTGTTTCAATCCTCTCTAATTTCTCGACCAATTCCAATTAATTTCAGGATGTCTTGCACAAAATCTGTCATCCGCATGGCCAAGTGCTGCGCATTGTCATATTCAAAAAGAACGGAGTCCAAGCAATGGTGGAATTCGATAATCTGGATGCGGCCACAAGGGCGCGCGAGAATCTGAATGGAGCCGACATATATGCCGGTTGCTGCACCTTGAAAATCGATTATGCCAAGGTAAGATCAATCGATTGAGCGATCATTGATAATTGAGCTGAATTGCAAACGGAAAACGAGACCAATTGTTCATTTAATTACAGCCCGAGAAATTGAACGTGTACAAGAATGAGCCCGATACCAGCTGGGACTATACGCTGACCACAGGTGAGATTCTACCAAGTGCGTTCACATTTTTTACTACCTTTTTCTAAACTAGTCGATAAGCGATGCACCGATACATCGATACTCGAGCACCCACACACGCACACCCTCGCCCACCAAAGACACTCAAACACACACTCACACATATGTCGAAAACACCCACACACACGCGCATTGACACCACCCCAAAACACTCTCTCATACACAACTCGAAGACACCACGAAAATACGGAGAGTTAATTGCTTTTTGTGACCAAAAAGTTGGAAAATCCTGAAAATCCTGGAGCATGCCGACATGCGTCTCTTTCTTAGAACTCTTTGGCTTTGTAATCGTTTCTGGCTAAATGTATACTTTTAATAGTTGGCGTTGTGCGAGGCGGCTGAACGTGGCGTATGCGTGATTTCCTAGGCTGTGCATCATCTTTAGTTGTTTTCCTAGCGGTCTCCTAATTCCTGAAATAAACCTCCACTCTCTTCCCCATTAACTTAACTTTGCCGATCTTGAAAAACACACACATACAACACTCACACGACCAGAACTCATTAAATCAAGCATTTAACGGCACTCTAGAGATGCTCAAACAGACATTAAGGCCCGCCACACTCTGAAATATATATTGCCACCTGTTCGTGCCACGCCCACTCCATAGTGCCCCCGCCTTATCCCGCACTGCACCATTATGCGCATTTCACATGTCTTTCAGTGCTTATGACGGGCGACAAAGTTGCGCATTAAATGCCATTTTTAATTTGCGTATTTCACTTTGGATAAAAATGAAATTAAATGCTTTGCCCGGCCTGTTTGAGCGCCAGACAACCAGACAACCAGGCGACACTGTCCACATTTTGTCGGTTGTTGTCGCTGTTGTCGTTGTCGTTGTCCCGCCTGGCCAATTTGTTGCTGGAGAAAAAGAAAAAGAAGAGGTCGACAGACGAGGCGTGGGGCCACATCAAAAGGCCGACAAACTGAGCCACCAGCGGATCCTGTCCAGGCCAACGCACTATTAACGCTGCCAAGTGTCAAAGCTGCCACAACTGCAACAGCAACAGCAGCAGCAGCATCAGACAGTTGACGAGTGGTGGGGTGAGAAGGGGAAGGGGTCTTTCAACCAAAAGCGGTAGTGGCACAAAGCCACAATAACTCAGACAGCCAGTTGGGGCAGAGTTACCATTTTTTGCTGCCCTGGACACAGACACAAACTTTGGCTGATCCTCCACAGCATTTCATCCGCCCTGTTGTCGTATTGCCATTTCCATTTGGAGGCCAAAAGTCTGCCACATCCCAGCCGCCGGATTCCCCATGTTTGTTTTTGCCACAGAGTTGCCGAGTTGCACTGCACCATCAATGAATGGGAAAACTGAATGAACTTGGCGGGGGCCTCCTCCATGAGTTTCTCCAGAGGAATAAGTGGGCGGAGATGTGCGGCTACACAGCCTCATTGTCGGCACATTATGGGGGCGTGGGAGGGGTGCCTGTTGTGCCAGCTTGCAAATTAGGCCCGGCACTATCTTTGTGTCCGATATAATGAACATGCCACTGTATGCCAACGATTCCAGTCGAATCGGGGCGGAGCGAAGGTGGTTCTTTCATCTCTATTGTGGGGGGATGATTAGGATTCCCCGTGATGGGATTGCACTTGAAGGACCCTTGGTAGAGCAAAGCAATTTGCTGAAAGGATTAGTTTTCAGATGCCTTTCGAAGTAACAGTACAGCTTTTAATCAACCTATCCCTTAAATATATCGGTAAATACTTTGCAATTATTAGATATATTTAGGAATAAAATGCTATATCATTTTGAATTGTTAATAAATGTAAATAGATTTATAGTAATTGGCTCTTGAAGATTCATTTATTTATTTAAATGCAATATAATTACTTGCCAAGTTTTCAAATAACCATTTAAAAAGTTAGAATTGAACTCCATCAAGTTCCAAAATGGGCGTGTATGACATTTATTCGACCTTCGCGGGGGGCGTTTTACTTGAGCTAAAAATAAAGCCCACCTTTACTTTCAACCACTAATCGTCCGGATAGATATGCAATATTCAAATGACCACTTGTGTCGCCCACTGACCGATAGTTTTCACCCACTTGCGAGGAAAAACGGACTCGTGACATGAAAGCACTCTCCTCTCGACCTGCTGTCAAGTAAAATCAATAGAATTCATTAAAATCGTAGCAAGTGACAATCCACGTCCACAATTTAGTTTCCACGTCAATTTCGAAGCGACTTCTTTATTGTCTTAACAACAATAACAAGGGGCAAAGAACAACGACGAAGCGAAGAGAAGGAAAACAAAAAGTGAAGTGAGGCAAGTTAAATATAAAGTGGAAAATGCAAACATAATATTTGCATAAGATTTTGCGCTCAACCTCGACGCTTTTGCAGTTATTCCTTTTCCTATGTCCGTGGCTGGCTGGCTTTCCCTCACCTTTTCCTTTTTCCGGACGAAAGGAGTCGGAGTCCTCCAAGGCAATCGATACAAAATGCCAGCACGTGAACGAGAACGAGGACACCGCCTTGGGTAAACAAGAGTCTCCAAAAAAGCATTCGAAATGACTAGCTGGTGCTTGCAGAGGGTTCGTCCTGGCTGTCCTGGCTGGTCGTCTAAAGTAGCAAAGAAGTTTTTAACAAGTTGACTTGAGTGCTCAACCACCCACCAACCTACCCATTTATTCACCGATTCAGACCACCCATCATCCCCTCCAGGTGTCGAGGATGGGGAGAAGCTCCTGCTGCAGCTCAAAACTTCATCAAGTACACACCGAAAATTTGTATTTGCATTTGCATTTGACAACCGCCACGGTTGTGCATATTTTTCTGGCTGCACTTTATCTATGCGCGTTTTGTTAATTTTCTACTCATTTCGCTGTCATCCTCCTTCCGTTCGGGGTTATCCTTTCGCCTCCGGGAGCCCGGATGGGGATCCGGATCCCCATTCCCATCCCGATTCCTTCTGCTCATCAGCGGTGGTCTATGGCCTGCATTTGCCTTCGTGTTGTCACGCGATGTTCTCTTTCTTGTTCTTCTTTATTTGGCCACAAATTGTTTTTGCTTTCTGGCTGGTTTAGCGCACTTTTGGCTCAAGGACGTTCGATTTTTCTTTCTTTTTTTCCTAGTTTTTTTTTTACGCTACACCACGACTGCAACTTGACAAACCTACGTGCATTTTCAAGCGATTTTTCCACGGCCTGATGTCAAGTGACAGTTGCGTTTTGCCGGATAGTTTGTCTCCGAGTTAATTTGGTTTTGTGGTTGAGGAATAGCTGCCTGCTGGAATTGATTAGAGACACTTTGTGTCGTCGTCGTCTGCTACTTTGGAAATGGTGCAGAAAATTGCAGTTTTTATGGGGCGTTAGTAGTCCACAAAATAATGGTCGCCTCCAACTCCAACCGTTAATAGAATCCAGTTTCGGGACTTGATTGCGTATTCAGATAACCACAAAGAACCTGGCCATAATTAACCACAGAGAAATGTCAGTAGGCAGCCCATGAAAAACTTTTCCCCCGGGGGCTACTGCTGCTTTTCCACCACAAAACGTGCACCGTAATGGCAGTCATTATTTATTTTATTTCCGAATGCACGGAAACAGCAGCAAAATAACAATCATAGAAAGTGGAACAGGGATAAGTCAGGGAACTCTCTGCTACCTTTGGTAGCTATAGTAGCAACAAAAAAATTTCAATAAAGGCGGGACACAAATAAAACCCCAGACAAAGGACAGAAAAAGGGGAAGGGAAATGCCAAATGTCATAAAAAGAAAACCACAACAAGGGACACACACCAGCGGTTGATGAGGAGTCGCATTGGAGGCCATTAAAAAGGACCTCTCCCCTCTTTGGAAGTTGAATAATAAAACATGACAAAACTATTTTATGTTTATGATTAAATTATGTCGTTGGGAGTCCCTAGCCTGGCAGGTGACACCTCCTCCACCTCCTCCTCCGCCACAACTTCCTTCCGCTTGTGATTCTTGTGATTCTGCCACAACAATCGAATTAAATGCGCATAAATTATTCATACACACTCGCACTAACACGCATGCAAATCACGTTGGCAACTCGGTTTCCCAGTGATTTCAATTATGGCTAGATATTCGGAGGCTCGTTCTTATTTATTTAAATTGCTATCGAAGAACGAACTTCCTCTTTCGTTTTGTTGCTTACTTTATCCTAAATCAACATGGGAAAAAAAAAGAACGCCTGCCTCATCCCCCGGTTGTCTTGTCTTTGGGTTATTTATTTTTATGACACTACAATTTCTGCAAGTGTGTGCGCGAGTGTTTGTGTGTGCGAGTCCTTCGGCCTGACTGCCTGCTGATTATTTTCGTTTTATCTAGAGCCCCGTGCTATTTTGGACCCCCAATTTGTTTTTAGTGCCCTCCATATGTTGCCTGCAAATGTGCTTGTTCCATAGTATTTCGCTACATAGATACATTTGAGTGTTTCTATGGGTGGTTGGGCGTTTTGGTAGCTGCTTGCCATTCGCTCCGCCCATCTAATACATCGTAATTATAACGGTTTACTTTTCCAGCATGGTTTATTTTATGCCAAACGGAGCGAAGACTTCATGTAATCAGTGTGAATAATTCGGCCTTTGTGCCCCCGATCTGATAGGGCTTTTATTCGCACAGGAACCCTTCTTCCTGGCTCGGCCCACAAGTCCCCCACATTTATGTGCGGTATTATGTCTTGTCTGTGCAATTGCGTGGACCTCACTCATTTAGAACCAATTAAAATGGCTTTTATTGCTGCCCACATAATGGCAACGACCAACTTTTTGGCTAAGCCACACATTTAGAGTGTCCATTGCCGAATGACAGGAATGGCTTCTTTTTGGGTTGTTTTTGGTTTCCATCACGATTGAGTTTCGGTCTCGAGTTGTGGCCAATTATAAGAAAATATTTTTAATGCTAACGCTTGATTGTAGTCTGACTTTTTGCCTGATCTTTTGAGTTCTCGTCCCACACTAAACTAAGACATCATCACAGCACGGAATCATCCATAAATATATC